CAATAAAATTATAGAAAAAAATAAAAATAAAAATAAAAAGTGATGGGCTTAATCCCAAATGCCACTTAGCTTCTGAAACTGCAAAAGTTTTAACCATTCTAATCTGTACTCAGTAAACTGGGTAGGGTATGAGCATAAGACTTTTATCATATTGTTGAAAAGGGCCACAGAATGAATTATGATTAGATTAATTATGAATCACATAGTGATTATGTTATAGCCACAACAAGCACAGCTATGCTTCCAGACATGGAGGCCAAATTTCCACCTCTGCTGAGGACAGCGACTGAGAGCTCCAGGTATTTGTGGCTCTGAAGTGAGTTGAGGGGGCCTGCCAGTTAGCTCAGTTGTTTAAGCCCCTGCTTATGCAACCGCAGTCAGGTGTAGAATACTGTGGTTCGATCCCCAGCTCCACATCCTTAAGTCCATCCTTAAGGCAGCCTGAGCCAGCTCCCCCCCAAAAAAAACAACCTTAAAGTGAACTGCACCTTAAACCACCAAGTCAACGAGTATCCATCCAGTGAGGTCCAGCTCCCAGGTACTCACTGCAGACCCTTGAAACACTCAAGCACACACAAGAGTCCACTCTATTGTATAAAACGGTTACAACAAAAAGACCCAGTATTATCTGGGTCACTATCTTCTTTTTCACTGGTTTCTGGAAATGAAATAGGATAGGGAACAGAGAAATAAGAACCTTGGTTAAAGTTCTGCCTCATGGGGCCAAGGAGATGGCTCAGTGGAGTAAGTGCTTCCCTGGCAAGCGCAAGGACCTGAGTTCAACCCCCAGTTCTGAGAAAAAAAAAATTCTGCGACATGGTGGGGGTACAAAGCTGCTGCCAGGAAGGTATAAAGCAGGGAAGGAATTATGCCACCCTATTCACAGGCTGCTAAATGGAAAGAAGAGTTATGGTTTGGGTCTAGATGGCCCCCCAAAGCTTCAGGTAGGCATGGGGTGGCCTTCTAGAGTTTGTGACTAATTTGTGATCCATGCTGGGATTATGGGTGTGAGTGTTGCTGGGATTATGGGTATGGGTGCTATACCTGGCCTGGAGCAGATAGCCTGAATGCATTACAAAGGAGGGAAAGAGGCGTGCTCTCTGCCTCTGCCCCTGCCGCTGCTGCTCCTACTTTTTTGCTCTTGCTGTTTTGCATCGCCATGAACTGCTGCCCTCTGCCATGTGACACACCCCCTTGGAGCCAGCCGAGTATGGACTGAAACTTCCACAAACTGTGAGCTACATAAACTTTCCTTCCTTAACTCTGGGCATCAGGTATTTTGTCCCAGCAATGAAAGAAAACTAGTTGAGACAAAGGTCCTTGCAAATTCAGCATCTTTTTTTTTTTTTTTTTTTTTGCGGAACCGGGGATTGAACTCAGGCTCTTGCACTTGCCAGGGAAGCGCTTATTCCACTGAGCTATCTACCTGGCCCCAAATTCAGCATCTTACACTGGGGCTGCAGATGTTTGTTTCTGTTATTTTTCTTTGGGGTGGTGCTGAGGTATTGTTCAGTGGTAGAGCCCTATGTATTGCCCAGGTTTGTTTTTGTTTTGTTTTTTGTTTTTTTGTGGTACCAGGGATTGAACTCAGGACCCTGCACTTGCCAGGCAGGCACTTATTCTATTGAGCTATCTCCCCAGCCCTTCACCCAGGTCTGGTCGGTAGCACCATAAAGAAATAAAAAAATATAACTTCCGTTTTGAAATAATTCTGGATTTACAGATAAATTGTTAGAATAGGACACAGTGTGTCTACAGCTCAGAGGTAGAGCACTTGCCTAGCATGTGTGAAGCCCTGGGTTTGATCCCCAGTACTAGAAAAAATGATAGTACAACAAATTTTCATGGCTACCAGTCTTTAGAAAACACTTTCCTTTTGTTTTATTGTTCTCTGCTACATGCGTATTATTTTTTTTCTGAACCTCTGGAGAGGTGATTGCATATGTCGTTTCCTTGAGCCTTTTTTTTTTTGCGGAACCAGGGATTGAACTCAGGCTCTTGCGCTTGCCAGGGAAGCGCTTATTCCACTGAGCCATCTCCCCGGCCCCTTCCCTAAGCCTTTTTATTTATCTATTTTTATTTCTTATCTATTTGTTTTTTAGGACAGGGCCTCACTATTAGTCCAGGCTGGCCTTGAATCGCAATCCTTTTGCTCGAGCCTCCCAAGGACTGAGATCACAGGTATGTGCCATTAGGCCTAAAGCTTACTGTTTGAAACTATAAAAATAATACAAGAAAATAAAGACTGAAAATGTTAAAGATCATCCCCAAATCCTACCATTCAAATACTAACATGTTCAATGAAAGCTTACCTCATTCTCTATTTCTTTTGTTTTTATGTATTTAGTACAAGGTCTACAGGGTCTCACTACACAGATTGGATTCATAGTGATCCTCCTGTTTTCAGCCTCCCAGGCACTGGGATTACAGGTGCACACTACTACACCCAGTCTCAAGCCCTGTCTCAGTGTGCCCCGGGTGCAGGGCCAGCACGGCTTGCGGTGCCAGGGATCGAACCCTGGCCACTGCGCTCTGCCTAAGCAGGTGCTATAGTCTGCTGAGCTATCTTTGTCTGTTTGCACGTGTAGCTTTTTTTTTTTTTTTTATGTATTTGGTACAGGGGCAGCTCAGACTCCTAGTGATCCTCCTGTCTCAGGTTCCCCCGTGCTGGGATTATAGGCATGCACCACCACACCCGGTCTCGGTGGCAGCTCATAGTGGGCCTGCAGGGCACGTGGTACTGGGGATCGAACCCTGGTCCCTGCACTTGCCTAACCAGGTGCTTAAGCTATCTTGCCAACCCTGCATGTATAACTTTTAAGTAGTTCAAATCTCTTGAAATATATTCACTGAGTGGTCCATTTACCCATCCAAGAAATGCTGAACCCCTCCCAGGAGATAGGACTATAAAACATCTAATGATCACACACAATTTCATGGTTACAGAATGTGACAAACTGCTCTTAAGAGCAGTTCTTGCCTCCTCCCCTAATAAAACGTCTCTAGCTCTAAGTCTGGAATGGATATTCCTATGCTTGGGTTTTGTGTTTATTTAGTAAATTTTCTCCAGAATATGATAAGTATAGTAAATCATATATATGATGGTGCAGTTCATCAGGAAATAAAAAAATTAAAAATTCTTACAATGATTTTTCAGTCCAGTGGTTTCAGCTTTAGAAAGTAATTCTTGTGTCTTCTGCATATTACAGGGAGTTTTTGAGGTTTACTTCCCCTGTCCGTGTTATAAGAGCAATTTTTTTTTCCGAATATAGTATTATATAAGAACATTTCCTTTTTTTCTCTTTATTTTTGGCTTTATAGGGTTTTGTTGTTGTCTGTTTTTTAGATAAGGTCTGGCTTTGTAGTGAAGACTGGCTTTGAACTATGTAGCCAAGGTTGGCCTCCAATTCACAGTGATCCTCCTGCCTCAGCCTCCTGAGTGCTATGATTACAGGTGTGTAGCCCCATGCCCAGCTTCCTTTCTTTTTCTTTTCCCTTTTTCTTTTAATAGGAGTGTTTGACCAGTGAGCTACATCCGCAAGAATTTGTTTTTATCTTATTGTATGCATGTACATATGTATGTATGTATGTATTTTGTAGTACTGGG